CAGATCTCAGCATCTACAGTATGTTTTGGCATAAGGAACAGTACGAGTGTGGTCTGTGTACTGACAGACGCTGATTACAAAATGAAATAACATGATTTAATGTAAACACTTTTTGTATTGTATGGTATTTTCAGTATATTTAGCAACATTAACACATTTTGTTTCCACAGTTAATGCTTTTTTTTTGTTGTGCCCCGTTGTAGACTATGTGGTATAGAGGCTGCACTGAAACTGCAATTATTCTATGTTGTATTCCTTTGAAAAATATTTTCTTTTTATGAGTGGGAACCCTCTTAAACTAAGAATAAACCTTGTTTATCTTTATTTTTGTTATTAACTGCAAATAATAGAACAGAAAACAAAGACCCCACATAAAATAGAATTTGGAGTTGTGTGTGCAATTTATCCCTTCTTTATATGAATAAATCACTGACATCAGAGACTCACTATTTTCCTGACACCTGGTGGAGACGTCTTCATGGCTTTCTTCTGATCTAGAGTCTGCATGTCTGAATGTAAAGTGAACACCTGGTACCTGAGAGACAACACACCTCTGTCAGAGACACTACACAGTATGCTGCTGTCATACTGCAGTTAACACAATAGGCTGATGAGCTATTATATTCTAATGCCATTAAGAAACATCTCAGTGACTTTAAATGAACATGCCCTACTCTTGACTGTGCTCGTTACGTGTAAAACACGTATTACAGTATTACAGATGTTGCATGATGTTCATTTCTTCTGTTCCTCTTGCATACAGTTCAGATTTTACCTCTCAGAAGGGGTGGAGAATCTTTTATCATCATACAGGATGCGGTCCCTGAGTGCCACTATCTCATCATATCCAGGAAGAAAAATCAGAACAGCACCTGAAGAAAATTACAGAAAGTTCACATTCTAATAATCCTGTAATGCTGTATCATCCAAATACTGTGAAATGAAATGTTCACTAGACAGCAGGTTGACTTAGTAGGTAGTGTGACTCTTCTGTTGCAGCCATGAACTATACTGCTCAGTAAGCAGCTATGAGGCTCACCATCATTGCTGGTGGAGACGATGTTGTGCAACAGATTCATGATGAGGTCCAGGTCCACCCGCTCATCATTAAAGCTGTGGTGGTACTGTCTGAGCAACTCTTGCTCTTCAGTGCTCAGCTCTGCACCGCCACACTGCACCAGAGTAGACTCATCCTGGCTGCTCTCTGCTCTCAAAGGACTGTACAGGAACAGAAGTGGTGCTGTAAAGCTGATCAGGAGTCCATTTAAATCATCAATTTATAAACCTTTTCCAACCATAAATCACATCTGGACAAGCCTTTACTTCAAGTACAAGTATTTTCGGGACTGTAGAAAAATGATTTTGGGTGGGGAAAGGGACTGAACATTGCTAATTTCACCATTAATAATTAAAAGAGTTAAACCGAACAATTTAAAATGCTGTACCACAATTCAGTTTTCATACTGGAACAATAATTTCCATATAGCCACTACTGTGCATGACAGAAAAGAGAACAGATGAGTTCTTTCTGAGGTCAGTGTCACACTCACAAAGAAGATTTGAGTAGATCCATAGCATCTGTCTGCTGGAAGTGTGTGGCAAAGTCTAAGGCCGTCCTGAAATGAGAGTAAAACACTGTCGCTCAAAGCACTGAAAGTGCACAGTCTGCCGTTCGTACAGCCACATTATTGGTCGTATTGTGAAGATGCCTGGATGGATTAAATCTAAACACACAGCAACTGAATCTTAGGCTTCAATTTAAAAAAATATGTACCTCTTTCAGTTCTACATGCAATAAAAGAAAAACTTACTAATATGATAGTGAATCACAGTAACACTGTAAACCTGTGATGTGACGTCATTTCACTAAGCTTGATACTATAACATGATGGATGTCCTACCATCCATTGGATGCCTTCATGTTGATGTCGGCCCCCATGCTGAGCAGCTGCTCCATCTGTGTGAGGAACCCTCGCCCTGCTGCCACCATTAGGGGCGTGGTCCCCGTCTCACTGTGCTTGTAGTCCACTACGTGCAAGAATACAAGTATGAGGAAACAACTAGGGCCTTCATGTTTTTTATAAATCAATTTGTTTTCTATGCCTTCTTTTCATGTTCAGGATAGTACAGAGTCACCAATAAATATTAACTGTTCGATATCATTCTCATACAGTGAACATAAAGCAGGAACCAGGAGATGATTAGGAAGAAACAGCTACCCTGGCTCTGTCTATGACAAAGGAGGAACATTTCTGTAAATTCAATCAAAAACTATACGAACAAACAAAACTGTCTAATCCACTGAACCATGATGAAAAGAAAAAAAAATTAGATCAGATGTACAGAATATACATCATCTACTTCTGTTTATATACCACAGAGCAGAGACTGGCTCTGAGAGTTACCGTTAACATTTTCATAGAGGATGAGGTTGAAGAGCTGAGTGAAAGCATCATGGTCTTCACTGAGGAAGGCATTAGACATACAAGAGTCCATTTCCTTCAGCAGCCACGGCTCCAGCTGGTCGGAGTCATTCTCATTCTGTGATAGACAATCACACACAATGATGCATCTCTGCAGTAATACTGCAGTTTGTCCAGGGAAGTCTATAAGCACTAGAGAACAATGCTATAATGCAAGCAGCATTATCCCTGGCTGCTTTCAAGCTACCAGCATACCTGATAAGAAGAACCAACTCAAACTGATGCAGAAACCTCCATCCTCAGTCAGACTGAAAACACCTGGCAGGTGTCTTAGCGGGTGTTTATAGATGTGTGCTTTTTGATAACGCCTGACAAAGATCTTCTATAGCTCAAAACGTTACTGCTACTGGTGAATTAAATTGCAGTGAGCTTAATACAGCGTGCACACTTATTTCCTGCTTTTTGCTCTCAAATAAAATGACAAACAGTATCTGTATACATGTGCACATGTATATTAAGTATGTGCCCTATATGGTAAACAAAGTGATTCAGGCATATCCAGGATTTCTTATTTTACATTAGGTGATTTTTCACGTTTTCCCACTTACAAAGAATGGACAGATCTGTAATTTTCATTGTAGGTACACCTCAACTGTGAGAGACAAAATCTACAAAAAAAATTCCAGTAAATCACATTGTTAGATTTTTAAATAATTTATTTCCATTTTATTGCATGTAATAAATATTTGATACAATAGAAAAATAGAACTTAATATTTGGTACCGAAACCTTTGTTTACAATTTAAAGAGGTCAGACGTTTCCTGTAGTTCTTGACCAGGTTTGCACACACTGCAGCAGGGATGGGGGTTGTTGCCCAAAATCTCGCGATACATGGCCCCATCCATTCTCTCGTCAATACGGTGCAGTCGTCCTGTCCCGTTTGCAGAAAAGCACCCCCCAAGCATGATGTTTCCACCCCCATGCTTCACGGTTGGGATGGTGTTCTTGGGATTGTACTCATCCTTCTTCTTCCTCCAAACACGACGAGTGGAGTTTATACCAGAAAGTTCTATTTTGGTCTCATCTGACCACATGACCTTCTCCCATGCCTCCTTCTAGATCAATGGTCTTCGGCAAACTTCAGATGGGCCTGGACATGTGCTGGCTTGAGCAGAGGGACTTTGTTTGCGCTGCAGGATTTTAAGCCATGACGGTGTAGTGTGTTACTAATGGTAACCGTTGAGACTGCGGTCCCAACTCTCTTCAGGTCATTGACCAGGTCCTCCTGTGTAGTTCTAGGCTGATCCCTCAACTTTCTCAGGATCATTGATACTCCACGAGGCGAGATCTTGCATGGAGCCCCATTCCGATGGAGATTGGCAGTCAACTTGAATTTCTTCCATTTTCTAATAATTCTTCTCACCAAGCTGTTTGCCTATTGTCCTGTAGCCCATCCCAGCCTTGTGCTGGTCTACAATTTTGTCCCTAGTGTCCTTAGACAGCTCTTTGGTCTTGCCCATAGTGGAGAAGTTGGAGTCTGATAGATTGAGTGTGTGGACAGGTGTCTTTTATACAG